CATCGTTGTCAACTGCCACCACCCACCACCATCATATTATTCTTATATTTATTATCATTACCACTGTCATTCTACTACCATTGTTGCCCATTGTCAGTACCCACCACTATTATTGTTGCTCACTGTCACTCACTACCATAACCCATTACCACCCGTCGTCGCCCACCATCACCATCAGCCACTGTTACCCACCCCCACCACACCCACCCGTCATCGCCCACCACTACAGCCACCCATTATCACCTACCCGCACCACACTTACCACCATTGTTATTCGTCATCACCCATCACACTGTCGCCTAGAAACATCAATCGTCGCCTACACCACTGCCGTCGCCCCACCACCACCACTGCCAATCACTATTACTGTGGTCCACCACCATCACTATCGTCACTCACGGCTGCCACTACCATCATTATCACCAAAAATTCACCATCACCATCATCGTTGTCACCCACAGCTGTCACCACCCACTACAAACCATTATCGTGTCCCACCATCATCACTGTCGCCCACCACTACTTACCCTGCTCATCTCCATTATAATCAGTACTTAAATTTCTTTATATCTCTTTTATGTTTGTGATTTGATTTTGAGTGTGAATACAAATATGTTTATTGCTGACCATTTTTTTTATTACTTCGTACCTTTAAGCATAGGGAACAACTTGTCTATATAATAAAGTATAATATAATTCAAATCTCAAAAGATAAATAAAATGACTTTTACTATTCGCGATTAAGATCGCTTAAAATTTTATTTTAAAGTTAATCTAGCGGGTAATATTAACACCCCAAATTTAATAGGAAAAATAAAGTCCTAAATGTGTGTTTGAAGTGATTTTTTAAAAGTACTTTTAGGAATTATTTCTCATAAGTACTTTAAAAAAATAATGTTTGAAATCGCCTCATCACTACCACTTTCTCTACCACCACCACCCCCACCGCTCCACCACCATCACCACTGCCACCACCCTCACCCCCATCCCCACCACCCCACCACCATCACTATCACCGTCGCCACCATCACTATCGCGACCCTACCATACCCATCACAACCATCACTGTCGCTACCACCACCATCACCACTTTCATTACCCCACCACCACCATAACTACTACTACCACCGTCCCACCACCACCATCACCACCATTTCCACCGCCCCACCACTACCATTCCCACCACCATCGCTGCCGCACCTTGCCACCATCACCACAACTATCACACCTTACTACCACCGCTACTGTCTCACCATTACCCCTACCACTCCGATGACCATCACAACTACCACCACTGCCGCCAACCCACCACTCCCACTGCCCCACCTCCACCTCCACCCTCACCTTACCCTGACTGCCCTACCGCCACCGATTACTGCCATCTTTGTTGATGACCACCACCCACCACCATCGTCATCTTATTCTTATATTTATTATTATTATTACCATTATCCCACTATCACTGTTGCCCATCGTCAGCACCCACCATCACTCATTGTCCCCCACCATCGCCATTAGCCACTGTCACCTACTCCACCACACCTACCACCATCGATCACCATCATTTGTCATCAGCCACCACCACAACCACCCACTATTACCTACCCCCACCACACTTACCACTATCGTCATTCGCCATCATTCATCACACTGTCGCCTAGAAGCATCCATCGTCAACCACCACCACCATCATCACAGCCTACCACCACCACTGCTAACCACCATCACCGTCGTCCACCACTACCCACACCCATCACCAGCACTATTGCCACCCACGGTTATCACTACTATCATCGTCACTCAAAACCCACTATCATCATCATCATTGCCACCCACGGCAGCTACCACCACCACGGTCGTAGCCTTACCCACCACAACCATCACTGTCTTCCACTATTACCACTGTCGGTCATCACCACTATCACCGCTCACCCCTACTACAATCGGTGCTTAAATTTCTTTATTTCTCCTTTATGTTTGTGATTTGATTTTAGGTGTGAATACAAATATGTTGACCATTTTTTTTTATTTCATGTCTTCAGGCACGGGGAATAACTAGTCTACATAATAAAGTACAATATAATTCAAAACTCAAAAGATAAATAAAATGACTTTTACTATTTGCGGTTGAGATTTCTTTAAATTTTATTTTAAAGTTAATCTGATGGCTAATATTATTACCATAAATTTAATAAAAAAATAAGCCCCAAAAAGTGTGTTTAGAGTAATTTTTTAAAAGTGCTTCTACGAATTATTTCTCATAAATACTTTAAAAAAAAAGAGTATTGTTTGGAACTGTCTCACCACTACCTCCACTGCCCCACCACCATCACCATTACTACTACCACCACAAATTATTCCCCACCACCACCATCATCGTTGCCGCCACTATCGCTACTTTACTACACCCATCGCCCCCACCACCATCACCACTGCTGCCACCATACTACCACCACCTCCATCGCCCTACCATCACCTCCATTGCCCTATCCCCACCACCTCTACCGCCCCACTACCACCATTCCCACTACCAATACTATCACACCCTACCATCACCACCACTGTCCCACCATCACCCCCTACCACCACCACCACCGCTACACCACCATCACTACCATCACCACACCACCACCACTGCCAACGTCGCCAAAGCCCCATTACTGTCGCCACCCCCACTACCCCACCACCTCCACCCCCACTGCCCCACCATCACCATCGCCACCCACTACGATTGCTACCACCGTCGTCCACCACCACCACACACCACCATCGTCATCTTATTTTTATATTTATTATCATTACCACCATCATTCCACGATCTTCGCTACCCACCACAACCATCACCACTACTGCCCACCACTACTACCACCGCTCATCCCCACTACAATCGGTGCTTAAATTTATTTTTCTCTCCTCTATATTTGTGATTTGATTTTGGGTGTGAATACAAATATATTTATTGTTGAACATTGTTTTTATTATTCCATACATTTAGTCACAGGAAATAATTAGTACATATGTATTCCTATGGCATCATCAACATCACTGTTATTATCCACATGACAATAACAATGTCTCTGTTACTGTCCTGAACAATAACAATGCCTGTGTTACTGTCCTGAGATAGTAAAAATACTCTACTATTATTGTCTCCAGAACAGTAACAATGTCACTGTTATCACGTGATAGTAAAAATATTCCACTGTCCCCCGAATAGTGACAACGCCTCTGTTAATTGTATATCCCATAAGAAGAATGAACATAAAAATTGAAAAAAAAAATAAAAAAATCTTTTGCTAAGTGTTGCTCCTGCATATAATCATAAACACTTGTTTATGCAAATGAAAAAAAAATTTAAAAAAAAGGCAAAGCAAAAAATCAAATTCAATGAATATAATGTCGCAAACATCTTCAAGCTGTGAAATCGTTTACGCAGACGGAGATGCTGATAAATAACATCGTTAACAAAGAAGATAATGAACAATATGCTTCTTCTGTTAAGCTCAAAAAATCCTCCACTTTTTTCGCTAAGTTCTTTTATCTCCCTCCCCCTTCTCTTTATGAAAAAAATTGCCAAAATTTAGCGTTTTAAAAACATCAATTTATTAGATAAAATCACAAATCTGAAACTCGAAGGCAAAAATAAAAGGGAGAAAGGAGAGAGAAATTAGAGGAGGAGAAAGGAGTTATAAAAAGATATACGTGATTTATTGAAGGTCAAAATAGAAAATTAAAAAAAAAAAAAGTAAAGGGAGTATATGACTATTAGACCTACTTACAAAAAAATACGTATGTGTCTTTAATAATTCAAAGAGATTGCGTGTGTCCTTGTTGACACAGGAGTTCTTCATATTATACTTTATTCCAATTTTTACTATATATAGTCCAAAAAATTTAGTCTATATAGGATCAATTAAATATATATCATAAAAAAACCCAAATTAAAACAATTAAAAAAAACCAAACTCAAACAAAAAAGTCCAACCTTCTTTCTAATTTTAATCAATATTTTACTCCTTTTAACAATTCAAATCGTATAAAAATATTTTTGGCTTCTTATTTAGTTTGAAAATTAAAACTATTAGATGATGAGAGTTTAAAAAAATAGTATCTTAACCTTGAGAATTTATTAAAATGTGATCAATTTTTTGATATCGATTGATTAGATTTATTTTCAAAATTAAAAGTTAGATGTTTTACAAGTAGATTACAACACTCTAATAGAATCATTAAGTTATATCAAAATGTTAAATTATTTTTTAAATGAATGCATTGCCAAATAGAATAGTATTAACCATACTCGAAAAAGTTGCTTCTGCTGAAAAAAAAAATTTAAATTAAAACTTGTAAAATATCATTTAAGATCAACTATGTCTCCATTGAAAATAACTTGGATGTAAAACTTAATCACTAAATTTGCGTGATAAAAAGTGAGAAGAATTTTTTTTATGTAAAATATTAATCATATTATATATTTAAAATAAATTTTAAAGGGCCGTATTTAAAATTTCTGCACAGGCCCTATTTACATTGAGCCGAACTTGCATATCTCGAGTTTGCGTAACAATAATGGATTTTATAGAATGCCTGATCGAGATAGTTGTAATTGTTTTTACCCACAAAAAAAAATATTATTACTATTGGGACATAATTTAGAGACTTAATGTATTATTACCATTAGATTAATAGTATTAGGACTCAATGATAATTTAATCTTGGACATACTGACAATCTAATAACCACAATTATTATGTTTCCAAATCATACACACAAAAGAGGGGGAGGGGGCCGGCCTTATTGAATCAAACATCATCCCCATACAACACCAAGAAAACAAAGCTTGTCCTAAACATTCACTTCTCCCACGCCATATATTCAGCAGCAGACTTTATGTCTCAAAGCTAAACAAACAAACAAACAAACAAGCAATGATTTGAGTTCTTTGATGCACCCAAATCCACAGATCATCAGGCAAAGCGATATATTTGGGTGATAATCACTTATCCATGAAGCTTAAATGACTCAAAAGCAGCATCAGCATCACAACCTTTCACTGTAAATGTGCTGAAAAATTCTTGATATTTATAGGCTCTGTAGAACTGAGGACTGCCTGAATTAACCAAAGCTCTTGCAGGTTCAATACATACGTCGTTAGAGGGAATAAGAAAGCAGCCAATGGTGGTTCGTGCCTCCTTTGAATGTGTCACCACGCGATGTTTTGGACTTTGGAACTTGTCGTTGCTGATGGCCTGCAATACCCCAACATTTATATGGTTAAAAAGTTCATTCAAGTTAAAATCGGAAGAAGGAATGCAGATTTATGTACCCGTAGTTGGAGGCCTGGTATGACTAGAAGAGCATTAGGGAGTGGCTCAACACCAATCCATTGCCCATCCTTTAAGAATTGAAGTCCAGGAACATCACACTGCTGAAGCATGCTTATGAGGTTAGGATCAGAATGCTCAGGCATCCCCAAGGTCAAGCTCGGATCGGGGCACGGGACATGATAATTTACAGACAACAGCTGATTTTTGCTGAATTCACCATCAAAATATCTCAGTTCAAGTCCAAGTCCTTCACACATCAGATCCAAAATCCTCAAAAGAAATTTCCTTACTTCAACCGAATATTGTCCAACAACGTCTCTGAAATTTTTTTGTTTGTCATGAAAAATCATTCTATTTCACAATATAACAACGTTAAAGGATAGAAATATAATTGGTTGATGATGAGATTTAGGAGTTTACCGATATCTGGATGGTTTTTCGGGCCAAAACTGGATATAATCGTCTACAGGATGACAACGGTGGGTGAAATTATCTCTCCAGTAATGAAACTCTTCTTTGTCATAGTTTAAAGTGCTTGTGTAGAGCCTACAGCTTCTATTGATGTCATTAGAGTAAAAGCTTGCCTTGTACTCAGCAGGCAAGCCGAAGAACTCTTTGAACACACTCATTGTGTCATCCATTAAAACTTCTGAAACTCCATGGTTGATCACCTGTTTCATCCACAGCATTTTTTTAAGAATCAGAACAGTAATATAACAATATAGTAAAGTAAAACTTCATGTGTTTGGTCGAAAAATATTCAATTTTTTTGCTCTAAGACTGAAATTATGGTGACCATGAACCTGGAAGAATCCGAATTCTTGGCTTGCTTTGAGAATTTGCTGAATTGTCTCTGCTGGATCATGATCCTCATCAATTGGTTTAAGATCAATCACCGGAATGTCGTTACACACCGGAACGAGGTTCTTTCCTGGTCTTCTTTCCGGTGGGAAGACAAAACTTTCAGGCATAGATTGAACATTAGACCAGTTTGAAATCAGGACCTCCATCTCTTGGTGTTAATCTTCCAACTGATATGTGGGTTTTCCTAGTAAGAGGTGAAGATTGACACATAAATATATACTTGATCCTTGTCCAGGTAATTAAGACAACTACAGGCTATAAATAATGAGAGTCTCGTGCACTAGACCGTCATTTCATAGCTTTACAATTTGGTAGGATATCATTTTGAAGAAAAATATATAGGCTAGAAATGTATAGTGTTGTGATGGATTTGTATGTCTCTGAGTTGGGTCGTGCTAAAAATTTTCAACTAATATCCGACTCATTTATAAACACATATAGACAGGTTTGTGTCGTGTCGAATTTGTATTGCGTTCAGTGGATTCGTGTTGTATTGAGCCGCTTCATACTGACCCATTTATCGGACTAGTTTAACAGGTCCATTCGATTACCACAAAAACTCACTAATGTTAAATCTAAATAAATACTTAATTTTATGTTAGATTTATGAATTATGTGTTTATATATATTCCTTTTCAATAGTATGGACAAGCAATCCCTTGTGAGAATCAATGAAATTAGATTCCTTGTAGTTCAATCTATTTGGTCACCAAATATGCTTCGGAGAAAGAGTTGTAGTGGTGATATTGTTGTTCCCATATGCTGTACGTTGTGGTCCATAAATATATGGTCCCCATTAATAATAAGCTTCCATCCAAGTGATGGGTGCATTATTGCATGATACAACATCCTTTTCTTGATGATACTAGTGGAAAATTGCAGATCAATCTTATTTGCTTGAACAACTATTTTTGTATAATCTAATCTCACAATGACGAAAATCTCGTGTATTGAGTCGCTTTCTTTACTCTGACATATTGATTTGGACTCAATTTTAATTGTCACGGCACATAAAGGGCTTCACCTGTATTACACTCGACTGGTCATACTCTTGTGTAGTGGGATTAATGTTGTATATAGTCGATATTATTAAACCGGTCTAGCCAATCAAGTAGATTACAACTCTAGCAAATTAAAACTAAATTAAAGTCTAATAATTTCATGTCGATTTTGTGTCAGATTGGTATGTATTTTAAGAATGGATAGCTAAAGGCACAATATAATAGGCAGGTTTGATGCAAGTCTGCCCCATGTAATCTTGGAATTGGCTTCACAAAAGATTGTGTTATATATTTTCTATATATATCTGCCCCTTTCACCACAACATCAAGCCTCTAAATTCTGAAAAAGCCACAGGTTTTTCACACATCACGTGTGTGTGCCCACTCTAAGAAGAGGTTAAGTGTTGCAGTTTCTTTCTCTTAATTAATTTTATGCCCATTTTCTTATTATATTTACAGATTTCACATCATTTATTTTAAAAGAAAAACTGCAGCAATCTGAGACATTTAATGAAGTTTTTTTTATTGTTTTTTCGACCTGGTAAATCCCTAAGAGCAATGTTGTAAGAACTTAATTTGAAGACTTAATGATGTGACTTTAATACTATCATTAGATCAGTTGTGAATTACAATATTAGGTGATAGAGCCCATTACCGATCTAATAGTTGTATTCAATTAAGTCCAAATAACATTTTTCAATCTCTAATGAAGTTCAAAGCTGGTGGCTTTGACATGCATGCCCCTAGCTTCCACTACCAAGACTACTGACTCCATTATTGTCTCAAAAGTATTAATTAATTGAATTATTGAGCCACATTAAAACTTAGTTTTATTTTGGATAAATTATATTTTGACTCTCTAAACTATGAACTCAATTTTACTTTGCTTCTTTAACTATTCAATTTTTTATATTGCCTCCTTAACTGCTTTTATTATTTCATATTGCCCCAATCACAAATACTCATTATCTTTTTGAACAAAAATTGTTGCCGTGTCAGTGCAAATCAAAATAATGTCAAGGACGTTAATAATTGGGACAATGTAAAATTAATCACATAGTTGAGGGTATAATGTAAAAAATATGATAGTTAAGGGGGTAAAATAAAAAATAGGTCATAATTGAGGAGGTCAAAGTATAATTTATTCATTTAAAGTAAGGGTCTACACTTCTGATGGATGTTAATCGAGCTAACCTTTGCGAGCTTGAGTTCGAGCTTATTAAGTTCATTTTTTTAAACGAGTTTAAAAAATTGTTCAAATTCAATTTATTTAGAAAATAAGTCGAGCTCAATCCTAATCGAATCTGAGTCAAATCCAAGTAACTCGATTATTTTACATATAAACGAACCGAGTCTGTTAAGCTCATTTTTTTAAAGAATAAAAAATTATTTAAATTCGATTCATTTAAAACATGAGTCGAGTTTATATTGAATTGAGCTTAAATAATTCGGCTCGATTAAAAGCTCTACGTCGATGCCTTGTATTATGTAAGGGTTGGCACTAGGTCGAGCTGATTTAGTCTCCATTAAATGGCAGGTTGTTAGGTCAAAATTCTGGTTGGGATCCGAAAAACCTAGAAATTTATCAGATTCATGCTAATGGATCTTTAATGGGTTATTTATCGAGTTGATTTTAATGTCCTAAATGGGTTATAATGTGGTTTTTATTTGATTAAATATCTATGTTTCTAAATTTATGAATTAGAATAGTAAAGTTAGACGTGAGACAACTTAACATTTTGATTGAAATGACATCTCGAGGATTTGAGATAAGTTTTGTGCATAGAAATGAAAATTATAAAACTTTAGATTTTCTTAATGATATTTTCATAAATAACTCAAACTTTAATTTGATTTTTGTATATTGGTTTTATTAAAAAATTTTTGAGGGAGAATTACATTCAGACTCTTGAGATTTATCACTTAATCACTTAAACTCTTAACATTTAAAATATTACAAACAGAACTCTTGAGATTTGTATGTACATAATACTTAGATCACTACTATCAATCTTCGTTAGAATATCCGTTAATAAATTACACTAAAACTCCTAAATTTTGTATACATGTAATATTTAGACACCTCAAATTTAAAATGTTATATATAGACAAAAATTATTCCAATAAAAATAGAATATTAAATATTATAAACTTTACAATCAAAATTTTTATTCTATTATATCATTTATTAATATAAAATCAAAAATAAAAATCTATATTTTTTAAAAAAATTATAATTAATATACAATTATATTATGTATTGGAATAAAATTAAAAAAAAATTAAAAAATGGTTAAACTGTAATGGATACAATATCTTATATATTTAATTATGGTAGTTTGATCATTTAATAGATATATTTAAACCCTTCAAGTTTACAATATTATATTTAAATAAAAAATATTTAAATCAAAGATAAAATATTAAATATTTTAAATTTTATGATCAAAATTCATGTTATATTATGACATTTATTAATATAAAATCAAAAATAAAAATTTATTTAAAAAAAATAGTAATTAATATACAATTATACTATCTATTGGAATAAAACTAAAAAAATAAATAAATTGTCAAATTGTAATGCACACAATATATTCTATTTTAATTAGGATAATTTGGTCATTTAATAAATAATATAATTGCATATTAATTATGATTTTTTAAGAAAAAAATATTTTTTTATTTTTAATTTTATATCAATAAATGATAAAATAGAATATAAATTTTAGTTGTAAAATTTAAAATATTTGATATTTTATCTTTGATTAAAATATTTTTGGTCTAAATATAACATTTTAAATTTGATGAGTTTAAATATTACACGAATACAAACTTTAGAATATCTGGGCATAATTTACTAACGGGTCTTGTATCCGATATTGATGGTAGGGGTTTAAACACATAAAAATTTTAGGAGGTCTGTGTATAATATTTCAAATATCAGAAGGTCTAAGTAATTAAATAACAAATTTTAGGGATCTAAATATAATTCTCTCATTTTTTTAATAAAACTTATTAATCTAATCATTTATATTAATTTGATACTATTGCTTTTCGGTAATCACATCATTTTCCGTCGAAGCCAAACCGGCATGTCACTGACCTCCAAATGAAAAGCCAGCCCAGCGTATGGGCACGGCCCAATTGGCTATCCCCATGGGCCACGTACCACGTCCAAATCCATCCAGCCCATCTATGCCTGCACAGCCTTTAATAGGATTAATCTTTCCTACTTTGATCCAATTTATTGACTTGAGAAAATGAAACCCAAAAATTCAAATTCAAATGAATATCATCTCTTGGATGAGTGTGAGATGAGTGGGCCTCACTGAAAAAATTCAATCCAATCCTGGTCAACAGTTTCTCAAATGAGCTCGAAGTAAGTCGAACCACAAGGGGAGAAAGGATCAAGAGTAAAGCCTAACACCAAATCTCATTCAATGATAAGGTCATCAATGTCACGACACCTGCTTTTAGAATGTCACATTGTGTATAAGGGAATGTAATATCTAATGACTAAATATTTTTCTAATATATTAATAAACTAAGCGACCACCCCATCATTTCTTGAACCCACTCTATTGGATAGTGTAAATAGGCTAGCCCTTGCCATGTAATAAGAATGATGAACACCTGCTCACAAAAAAAGTTGTAACTATCTTCTTCCTCATCAACCACAATACAAATCACAGAAGCAAGAAATTACGTTAAAATAGATTAGTCAAAATTTTCAACTGATAAACTACTGAATCTCGTGTGTTTGTTGTCGATTCTTACGATTGATTTATCTATTTCCCCTCTATATACTCTACATATTCATCTTAGCAGAGAGCTCTTCAGCCTCCCTCTCTCATACACCATATTCCTAGCACCATGAAAATTAAATTCCAGATAGTGGTAAATAAACAATACACAACTCATGACCATCAAATTAGCCAAAAATTTGATATTCAAACTTAGGATTTTGAAATAATAATTATGGTAAGTGATTACACTTGTATACTTTCGAAATGATGTGTATGAGTATAGTTACATTCCCTAAGTCAAAATGAGAGATACCCATAATCAGATAAGTCTCATTAATATCCTATTTCAATGTCTACTACTATTTTGCAGTACTCTAAAAAGAAAATAGAGCACCATCTCCTACAGAATATTGTATAGTGTTGAGCGACAATACTCTCTGATGAATATGTGGACTAGTTTATCTACATATTCATTTTATGTATAAAAAAAGAAAAGAAAAGAGAGGAATTGTAATGTGAATTGAAGGATCTGTTTCAAACCACTTGGAGCACAGTTACACTGTAATTCAATAAATTCACCCACTCAATTTTGGATGATTCAACTCACCCTCAATTTCTTGTTCAATTAAAAAAAAAAAAAAACCTCACTCCTAATTTGGCATACATAAGTAATTGATTTGCCAAGAAATTGTAACAAATTATCCCAAGTTAATAATATTTATAGAACTCAAACACTCTATTTATTAATTCATTTCACCAGAATCGACTTTTATTCACCTAGCCTTGTGTCCCATGGACTAAGGCTCGGAAAAATTCCAAATTAAAACCCAACGTATACGATAGAGAGAAATACAAATATCTTACAAGAAAGTACGTATAATATGGTTGCTTCTCCCCTAGCAAACCATGAGACATATTAATATAAGAAATGACTTTCCTTTCATGGACTAAAGCTCGGAGCTTATACGATATTTTATTGCTTCAGTATCAGGACCAAAGGCTCGTGAACTATGCACAAACTCCTTGTAGAGGATGGGTCTGTAGAGTGGAGGATTCAGGTCATTAACCAACAATTTTGCAGGTTCTACGACGAAGTCGAGAGAAGGATTAATTAAGGTGGCAATGCTTGTCCTGGCTTCACTTGGATTTGTTACTGCTCTGTGTTCTGCACTTTTTAGCTTCTGGTTGCTGATAATCTGAACCCACAAAAAACAGATATGTATAATAAACATGTCTAAAACACACAACCATGAGAGGTAAACTAATGTTAAAGGAAAAAAACTTGACACAAAATTAATTCCAACTCAAATTCAGCCCGAATAATGTACGATACTTAAAATTTTGAACATGGGTGCATTGTGTAACTCGAATGGAAGTTCAGATTAAATCTGGTTTTGATTCACGGGTTATGAAACCCGGATCGATATTTTAGTTCAAATTATGAGTCAAATTGTGTCGAGTTTGATTCATGATTCACGACACTCGAGTTTAACTTAGGTTGAATCCGAATTGATTGATTCGTGGTGAGGCTCAATAGTCAATACCCAAACCCAATACTCACTTGAATTTCAATCACCTCATGTTTTTTTTTATCCAAACTCAACTCATATATTGAAAAGAGCAAAGCTATTTAGACCTAATTTATTGAACTTATTTGTTGATTTAATCACTTTCTATCATTGGATTGATATTGAACCTCATCATTATTTAGGACCCGTTATTAATTTAATGCCTATAATGTATTAGGTCAGGAAAGAGTAATACTCTTGGGACCTGCTGACTTAATGATATTGTCCAATAATGTTATGGGTGGGGTTATTCCCACCCCACAAATCTTCATTCTCGCTCTATTTAATTTATCATTCTCAAATTACTAAACTCACCTTTTCTACACATTCCATTAGTAACTACGTTCATCTCATGTTACATATACCCCATTAATAGTTAAGCTCACTCATTTTATGTACACATTTTCAATGAAAGAAGTCATTGTAAAAAATAATAATAAAAAAAAAAGACAATTAGTTTAAATGCATAAATATATTACAAAATAAGAAAAAAAAACTGAACAAGCAAAAAAAACCAAGCATGCTGAAATAAGAAAAAAGAGAAGAACGAAAAAAAAAAAAAAAAAAAAGACGCAGACCGAAACAAAAAAAAAAAGAAAAGAACGAAATAAGGAAAAAATAGAAAGAAAGGAGCAAATCAATAAGTCCAAAACAAGATGGGAAAAAACCAAGTCACGATTAAAGAACACAAGCAAAACTACAAGACGCAAAATCGAATATGAAAAAAAAAATAAGCATCAAACACAGACACAAAATCGAACAAGAAAAAAAAACATGCATAGATGCAAAACCTTAATAAGATAAAAAAGAACAAATAATCTGAAAGTATACATAGATATACACACATATAAATTCTAAATAAAAAATTATTAAACTTGACAAATATCAAAACATACTGAAAAATAATAAAAATATATATAATAAACATGAAATCAAATATAGAATTAATTTGAGAAGTAATACTAACTTATATCTTACTACAAAAATTTATATTGAGAAAATATTTTTTGTGGGTGCATGAGAAGAAATAGAGAATGAAACTCTAATTATGACAAAATATAAAGCAGGTTTACTTATTAAAAGGAGTGTATGTAGTATAGGTTGAGCTTAGTTACTAATAAGGTGAGTATAGAAGGGGTGAGGTTACTAGTTTGATAATAAAAAATTAAATGGGGTGATAATGGAGAGTTGTGGGGTGGGAACAACCCCTCCCTAATGTTATTGTGACCCTAACTCTTGAATTTCTTTATTGAAACTTCATCACTTGACATATTTTTATATCAGTAGATTAGATCAATTTTTTATGTCTCAATATCATTTCTCCGGACAAAAAATTTGGTCCAAATAACAAAATCTTGGCCAAATTCGAGTTGGACTTGGATGGTATGTCAATCTCAATGTCCTATTCTCCCAAATCTCAAAAGCCTGTGAGTTATGTAGGAATTTACTACATCTATTTTACTAAACCCCTAATGAGCAAAAGAAATGGATTTACTAAACTCAAATGTTTTAAATTCGAATTTTTGTAATCTTTTGGAGTCAGGTCACGATAGATTTGTCCCTCATGAATATCTTAATTCTTGCGTGGATGATCTATCTTTAACTAGATCGAAAATAGAATTAGTCAAGATGTGCGAATGCTAACTTGAATATCCATGACGGTTGAATTAAAAAAAGAAAAAATGGATTTATACCTCCAACTGGTTGCCTACAATAACAACAAATGCATTGGAAAGAGCCTTGACACCAATCCATTCCCCATCCTTGAACACTTGAAGCCCAGAAACATCCCCTTCAAGGAGAATGGTTATGAGGCTAGGGTCACAGTGTCTCAATAATCCCAAGGTTGTACTGGGGTCCGGGCAAGGTGGATAATAATTTGCAGTCAATAACTGAACTTCACTGGATTCTTCAAAGTACCCTCCTTCCAATCCTAATCCTTCACAAATCAGCTCGAGAATCCTCAAACTCAACTTCCTTAATTCTTTTACATATGATACAACAATCTCACTGCAAAAAGTATAAACCTTTACTACAACAATCTCATACATAGTTAGGTGTCAAATGGAAGAGCAGATCTTACCGATATCTATTCGGCTTTTCCGGGCAAAGTTGTACACATTCCTCCTCCAGAGGTTGACAAGGGACTTTGATATTCTCTCTCCACAAATGAACACCATTGCTGGAGAACTTCATACTGTCTGTGTAGAACCATCCATTCTTTTCAGGGACATTGACCTTGTCTTCAGCAGGCAAGTTGAAAAGATCATTGAAGACTTTCGTTGTGTCAATTATCAAACACTCAGGGACTCCATGGTTGATCACCTGTTTCCACAAAACAATATGATCTTCAAGAGAATTTGTTTGATGGAGACAAAAATCTTTGCAAGAAACCATTAACTCCTTGAGAGAATTTTCGAAAGAACAAAATAAATTGATCAAACAAGTAGAAGTGATTGAGTAAAAAAGGATATTATGAACCTGGAAGAATCCAAATCTTTGACAAGCTTCTGAAATCTGCTGAATTATGTCGGTTCGTGCCTGACCAACTGCTTTTCCAAGGTCAATGACTGGATTAGTCTTGCATAGAGGAACAGTAAGCTTACCCGGTCTTGTTTCCGGTGGGAATATGTAACTCTCAGGCACAGATTGAACATCTAAACAGCTTGAAACTTGACTTGCCATTGTGTATATGTGTATTCTCTGATCAAAATACTGGTTCTAATGGTATGATGAACATGTTCATCCAAAATGACCCTATAAAATTGATCAAATGGTCAGTCAACCAGTCAACATTATTTTATCATCTGAAGAAACTACCTTCCCATTGTAGGGTTGCCAAACTTTGTATATAATATGATACCACTGGCCTAGTAACTCACATCACATGGTTTCTTGTATAGTTTGGTCTCATAAAATAATGTTGTTAAGATAATACTAAAAACAAACTTAATCATAGCTAGAAAAGACAATATATGAAAGTATTCTCATCGCAAGCAATAGAATAATGGGTGGTGACGACCATACTTATAGTATTTTAATTTTGGCATACGAATTTCAAACACCCGCAAAAGATATTGTGACTAAACTAGCTTATCTTTCAAACACAGCTGTATAGTAAGAAACAGCTAAGTAAGTATTTCTTATTAATAGCCATCATATCTGAACATAGGGTTATTTTTTGAGAATTAAGTTTTAAGGTCATGTAGAAAATGAAGGAGTTATAAATTAATGTTATTAGAACTGCTTGGAACATAACCTAAGGTTGGAACCAATTGAGTTGTAACTTTCAAGCACAGCTCACCTTACCACCAAGTCTCACTTACTAGGCTGGCAGAAGCCTTAAAAAAATGATGACGGCGATGATTAAATTGCTTTGTTTATGTTAAATATTAGCAATATGGAGAATCGATCATCCCTGACAGCCAAGAACAAAATGAAAATTGTGCCTGCAAGTTTTTTTTTTTTT